CTAAACCCTAAACCCAATATATACACTCACCAATAACACCTGCTTCCATATCTGTTGAGCCATGCGGGTTGCTGTGGACATCTGTTTTCTCGAATTGAAGTACCCTTAAACATGAAAAATGTTCTCCTAAACCCTAAACCCTAAACCCCATAGTAGCTCCCTCACCTCCGCTGGAACCGATGTCGGCAAGGCTGTGCGGGAACAGCGCGGCGTCCTGGCGAGGACGTATGGGCTTAGGGCTTTGGGCTTAGGGTTTAGGGTTTAGGGTTTAGGGTTGAGGGTTGAGGGCTAGGGTTGAGGGTTGAGGGTTGAGGGTTGAGGGTTGAGGGTTGAGGGTTGAGGGTTGAGGGTTGAGGGTTGAGGGTTGAGGGTTGAGGGTTGAGGGTTGAGGGTTGAGGGTTGAGGGTTTAGGGATTCAGGCATGGGAGGGTTTTAAGTTTGAAGGTTTCAACCCGAAACCCTAAACCCCCAAACCCTATAAACCCGAAACCCTACTAGATTTCAACTTTCCAAATCCAAATAAACTAGACTTTCCAACCATCGGAAAGATTGTCTGTTAGCCGGGGTCGTCTATTCATTGTGGTCCCTAACTCTCGACATGAACTAAGGGACCCCGCTCAAACCTTAGACCCTAAGCTCAGAGCCCCTGAACGCCCTAAAACCCAAACCCCAAACCCTAAACACCCAAATCCCTAAACCCTAAGCCGTAAACCCCAAGCCGTCAACCCTAAACCCTAAACCCCAAACCCTAAACCCTCAACCCTAAACCCTAAACCCTAAACACGAACCCAAAACCTAAGAAGCCAAACCCCAAACACCACTGACGCTGAACCCGGAACCCGCTTGCGGTCCCCGATGAAGTCCAGGGCTAATGGCCGCCCACCAGCCTCGGTTTACAGGAGGGTTTCGGGTTTAGGGGTTTTGGGGGTTTAGGGTTTAGGGTCTGTAAGGCTCGTAGGACCCTAAACCCTAAACCCTAAACTCTAAACCCTAAAACCCTTAAGTGTCGGAGTAACCCGCTCGAAGCCTCTCAGCGCCAAGCCCTTGAGCTTCGATTTTGCTGCTTCTTTGGGTGGGCTCCACATTCAGGTTTAGGGTTTGGGGTTTAAGGTTTAGGGTTTAGGGTTTAGTGTTCAGGGTTTAGTGTTCAGGGTTGAGGGTTGAGGGTTCAGGGTCTAGGGTCTAGAGTCTGGCTCAGTAAGGATCACTCTGGGGTGGAGGCCGTTGCCGCCGGCTGCAGGCAGAGTTTCCAGTCTCGCCGCCTGGCTACTCTCTGCATTATAGGCTCAGCCGAAACCGCGACAAACCCCTCCCCCAAAACCCCTTAACAACTCCCTGAACCCCCTGAACCCCCTGAACCCCAAACCCCAAACCCAAAAAGCTTCTTCCCAAACCCAGAACCCCAAAACCCCCTAAACCCCAAACCTTAAACCCCAAGCCCTAAACCCGAAACCCCAAACCTGAAACCCCAAGCCCTAAGCCCGAAACCCCAAACCTAAAACCCCACGCCCTACACCCCAAGCCCTAAACTCTAAAACCCTAAAACCCTAAACCCTAAACCCTAAACCCCAAACCCTAAACCCTAAACCCCAAACCTTAAACCCCCTTGCTGCTGCCTCAGGGCGAAAGCTTGGATCTGCAGGTGGGGGCTCGGCATGTTGCCGCCGAACCTCCGCTGAAGTCTCCCCCCCTAAAGCGTGAACAATGGGGAGGGTTTAGGGTTTAGGGTTTAGGGTTTAGGGTTTAGGGTTTAGGGTTTAGGGTTTAGGGTTTAGGGTTTAGGGCTAGGGTTTAGGGTTTGGGGTTTGGGGTTTAGGGTTTAGGGTTTCGGGTTTAGGGTTTAACGTTTGGGGTAAAGGGTAACCCTATAGAGTTTATCATGAGACTCTACCTTGGAACCTTGGACCCCTAATGTTGCATGTGCCCGTGAGGTTTGGGGACACTTTTTTGAAAGATCCTCTAAGGAAATAAAAGGCCCATATTAGGAGTATATTAGGGTACAACCGTTGGGGTACGAATCATAATCCTTTGGTTTTTATGGGGCCTAAACCTAAACCCCAAACCCTGAACCCTGAACCCTAACCCCTAAACCCTAAACCCTAAGTCCCAAAACCCTAAACCCGAAACCCTAAGTCCCAGAACGGTTCCCAAACCCAACCCAAGGAGCCCCGCAGCAAGTTAAGAAATCCAGGGTTTGCTGTTTAAAGGGAGGTTTAGGGTTTAGGGTTTAGGGTTTAGGGTTTAGGAGTTTGGAGTTTAGGGTTTAGGGTTTAGGGCTTACGACACCCCACTGCCGGCGGCGCACCACGCGCGACCTCCTGGCTTCAGCCTGCATCGGGACAATAGACGGCATCTTGCCGGGCAAGGTTTTCAAAGAGGTACCCAGACAGGCGATTATGCCCTAGCTTTAGGGTTTAGGGTTTAGGGCTTAGGGCTTAGGGTTTACGGTTCAGGGTTTAGGGGAATTATATACCCTATAACCCGTAAAAAAGGCCCTTTATAGGGCAGATCATGAGGATTAGAGGGCGTCATAGCCCATCCTGGTAGAGGAGAAAAGGTTTGGGGTCTAGGGCTTAGGGTTTGGGTTTAGGGTTTGGGGTTTGGGGTTTGGGGTTTGGGGTTTGGGGTTTAGGGTTTAGGGTTTAGGGTTTGGGGTAGAGCCGGGGCCGGGCTGCTTTGCAGTACCCAGGTGGGAGGTTAATGGGGTACAAGCCCCAGAGACCCTAACCCCCCCCCAAAAAAAAAAATAAATGAAAATATTCTTCCTCATGAGGGTAATATAGGGATTATATATATATATATATATATATATATTTTTTTTTTTTTTTTTTTGGGGGGGGGGGGTTCTTAAGCAAGTAGTAGTAAAAAAAGGGGGATTGCAGAGGGGGGGGGGGGGCGAGGCTTGAGGCTGCAGCTACAGCAAGAAAGGCTGACGGCTCATTGGTGGGCTGATCGGTTTAGGGTTTAGGGTTTAGGGTTTAGGGTTTAGGGTTTAGGGTTTAGGGTTTAGGGTTTAGGGTTTAGGGATGTTCCAGAAAGCTGAGTGGCCAAACTAGAAGGCATATGTAGCAGCCGTATGATGTGGACCCCTAAACCCTAAACCCTAAACCCTAAACCCTAAACCCTAAACCCTAAACCCTAAACCCTAAACCCTAAAAGCCCTAAACCCGAAATCTTCCATGCCTTCACTTCTCAACAAACCGCGCCACCAGCTCCACTGGACCTCAATGCCCTACACCCTAAACCCTAAACCCTAAACCCTAAACCCCAAACCCTAAACCCTAAACCCTAAACCCTAAACCCCAAACCCCAAACCCTAGACCCAGGGAACAACGGAGCCGAGACGACCTGGTTTCAAGCGCTGAGGCTGCGGCTTCTGGATTAGCTGCTGAATGACTCGGCCTTTAGAGGTTTGGGGTTTAGGGTTTAGGGTTTGGGGTTTAGGGTTTAGGGTTTGGGGTTTGGGGTTTAGGGTAGAGTTTAGGGTTTAGGGTTAAACCTCAAATCCAAAGCCCAAAAGACAGTCAAGCCCCTAAAAAACCTCAAGCTCCTGAGTCCCAGACCCCGAACCTCAAATTCAGGAACCGCAAAACCCTCAAAACAAAACCCTAATGCCCTGAAGCCCAAGGGTTAGGGTTTAGGGTTTAGGGTTTAGGGTTTAGGGTTTAGGGTTTAGGGTTTAGGGTTTAGGGTTTAGGGTTTAGGGTTTAGGGTTTAGGGCTTAGGGTTTAGGGCTTAGGGCTTAGGGCTGAGGGCTGCGGGCTTAGGGGTTAGGCTCAATGTCAGTGAGGTTGAGGCTTGAGGTTTGGGCGCTCGATGGGGGCTCAGAGCGTAGGTTTGCTGACGTGACTTTAGTTGGGTTTCGGGTGTAGGGTTTTTAGGGTTTAGGGTTGAGAGTTCAGGGTTTAGGGTTTAGGGTTTGTTTTTTGGGTTTAGGGTTTAGGGTTTCGGGTTTAGGGTAAGTCCTGAACTGCGTCTCCAACCCTCTACCCCACCCTCTCCCTCTAGGAGGTCTTGCACCCCTTAAGGCGACTTAGGCTGAGGAGGATCCTAGTAGGGGGGTCCTCGGATTCATGGTCCTTTTTTTGCGGGTACCCTAAATCTTCGGGGCCGCCTCATGCTGGCAAACCGCAAGAGGAATCCGAATTTAGAGACATGACCATGTCGGGCTCAAGACTGGCAGGGCTGGGTTGAGGGTTTTAGGAGGGCGGAGGGGCCCACAGTGACCGAAATCTCAGGAATCTCACCGGGGACGGGGGGGGGAGGGAGAGGAAAAGCCTGACCAAGTCTAAGAGTGGCAGGGATCGCGAGCAACCGCCGGCGGCAGCGACGCCACTAGGGTTCATGGTTTAGGGTTTAGGGTTTCATGAGGCTGCGACACTGCGTGGTGACATTGTAGTGGTACAGGACCTCGGCTTCTGAGGGGTCGTCATGCAAACGGAGTCGCAGCAGTGACATATACAGTCAGCCCTGAACCCCAAAACTCACCACAGTGAACAACGTATGGGTTTAAGGTTTAGGGTTTAGGGTTAGGATTTAGGGTTTAGGGTTTAGGGTTGTAAGGGATTTTGGGTCTCCAGTGTTGTGAAATGTGGTCTCCAGCATGCCGCCTCCACGGCAACACAATCCTAAACGCCAACCCCCAACCCCAAACCCTGTAAACTCTACTCGACCCCAATGCTATGAGCCCGAATCCTCGTGCCCCTGGACCCTCAAGCCGCAAGCCTCCCTGACCCCACCCTAAACCCTAAACCCTAAACCCTAAACCCTCAACCCTAAACCCTAAAAGGGGGGGTACCCTATGAGCCCTCTATATTATCGGCACCCAAAAGCCCCCAAAGCCACAAGACTCCATGTGGTTTCACTCTAAGGGTGGTTACATGGTCCCTTTGTATGGGCCCCTTACAAGGGGGACTTCTTACATACCTTTTCTATAATTACCCTATACAACCCAAGGGCCCATACTTCAGAACCCGTTGAAGATGGTAACCGCCAGAGAACTACCCTGAGTTCACCGAGGACATGACCCAGTAGGACGTCACAGCGTCGAAAGACTCGTCTGGAATCCAACCTGGCGCCAGCTACGTGTTGCAACTGACGCAGTGTTGTTCACCCTATAAGTGCCTGTGAACCCTAAACCCTTAGAGCCTAAACCCCCAAACCCTCTGGGGACTCTGGGGTATTGGGTTAATGGGTTCAGGGTACAAGGATCCCACAAAAAACAAGGGGTCGACATTTCCAAAGGCTTTTTGGGCTTTTTCAGGGCCGCGCGCCTTGTTCTCTGCACCTCTTTGGGATACCAAAGACCAAAGTAGCCCTAGAATTCAGATCATATCCCCTTTTCCCTGAACCCTAAACCTTAAACCGTAAAAACCCTAAGCCCTAGACCCATCCCCCTTCTTCTACAATCGGTGCTAGGGGACCTCCTCGAACCCGCGCCCTAAACCCCTTAACCCCGAAACCCCTAAACTGCCCTAAACCCGAAAAAAGCACTCCCAGAAATGCCACGCCTAGGTCGATGCCGCCGTAGAGGCAGTAGTTACCTCCATGGGCCGAACTGCAGGCAATACTTTTTGTCTCGGGTTGTAGGGTTTAGGGTTCAGGATGGCCCTTCAAACCTTTTGAAACAGATTAAACCCTAAACCCTAAACCCTAAACCCTAAACCCTAAACCCTAAACCCTAAACCCTAAACCCTAAACCTTTTGAAACAGATTATGGAATATGACCCTCTTAAACCCTATAAGGGAAAATCTCAAACGTCCCAAGGACCTACACAGGTTTTGTCTAGGGTTGTAGGCAGGGCTTAGGGTTTTAGGGTGGGTTTTGGGTTTAGGGTTTAGGGTTGAGGATTGAGGGTTGTAGAGTTTACGGGTTTTAGGGTGTAGAGTTGAAGGTTAGGGCTTAGGGTTTAGGGTTTTTGGGGTTTAAGGGTTTAGGCTTTTAGGGGTGTAGGGTCGAAGGTTGGGGCTTAGGGCTTTAGGGTCTGACGGTTTAGGATTTTAGGGTTGAAGGTTAGGGCTTAGCGTTGAGGGTTTTGGGGTGTTGGGCAGGGCGTTGACGACCGGGGCCCCACTGTCCTAAACCCACACAAAACCCGTCAGCATGTACTCGTACACCTTAAACCCTAACAAACCATAAACCTAAACACCTAGGGCCTAAACCTCCTAAAAAACCACACTTAGGGAGTCGGTCTCCGGCGGTTTAGATCTTGCAAGTTGCCAGAGCTCGCGAAGCTGAATCTCACGTAGAGCAGATAGTAAGGAGGGTTTAGGGTTTAGGATTTATAGGGCTTCGGGTTTAGGGATTAGGGTTTAGTGTCTAGTTTACGCTTTAGGGCTTACAGGGTTTAGGGCTCAAGTTCGTCTAGCTAAATACGATATAGGCTGTATATCAAGCACCACCGGTCGGTGGTGGTTTTGTTGATTCTGACGCCCCAAACCTTATAACTTGTACTGCAACACTTTAACCCTAAGCCAAACACCCCAAAAGCCCTTGTAAGACTTTAACCCTAAGCCAAACACCCCAAAAGCCCGAAACCCTAAACCCCTAAACCGCTAAACCCCTAAACCCTAAACCCTAAACCCTAAAGTAGCCCTAAACCCCTAAACCCAACAGCTCGAAAATCCCCGAGTCACACACAGAGGGTCCTCGAGAAAAGCGGGTCGCCCAAGCAAAGTTCTGCGATGTGGCCTCCGAAATGTAGGGTTTAGGGCTTAGGGCTTGGGGTTTAGGGTTTAGGGTTTAGGGTTTAGGGTTTAAGATTTAGGGTATCTTACTACAAGCGTACCCTACGACCTGAACCCTCATACGTACCGGTACCTGCGTGAGGGTACTTTGGGGCATCTGAGAGAATAGACTTGGAGGTTTAGGGCCCTAAATCCTAACCCTAAATCCTACAACCCTAAACCCTAAACCCTAAACTCCTCAAAGGCCATCAAACAAAGTTTGTGAGCTGGCAGCCAGGACCTCAATGCCGTAGCCATTGATTCCATACAAGGTGGACCTCAGCACTCATGGGGTTTAGGGTTTAGGGTTTAGGGTTTGGGGTTTAGGGTTTAGGGTTTAGGGTTTTGGGCTTAGGGTTTAGGGCTTAGGGTCATGAAAGCAGGGTACTTCGAGCCCCAATTCCAACTGTACTTAGAAGCCCCCCTAAGTCCTCTCTAAGTAGGTTAGAAGTAGACTTGCAACTGACTTTGCTGAGGTCCAAAAAGTGGAATCCTACTATTTGGGGTCTGTATTGGGATCCCTATTTTCGTAAACCCCCGTGAACTTACCATGAAACTCACAGGGTCACCAATCTTTCGGGCATGCCGTTTTCGGGTCTCTGAGACATCCGAGGTTCGGTACTTGGAGCGGGATGGCTTTGGAGTTTTGGGTTTTTTGGGGCTTGGGGTTTCGAGTTCGGGGGCTTTGGGCTTTGGGATGGGGGTTTAGGGCTTGAAAGGGTGGGTGTTAACGATGGGTTCGCAGGCAGGCTTTGAATCCTAGCCAACGGGGTGGAGTTCGAATGTGCTCCCTGGCACCCTAAACCCTAAACCCTAAACCCTAAACCCTAAACCCTAAACCCTAAACCCTAAACCCTAAACCCTAAACCCTAAACCCCCCTCAAAGTTTCGGCTGGGGCGGCGGCAGCCATGTCAGGGACCATCCGCAGCCACTGCCTCAACTCCAAACCCTAAACCCCAGCCCTAAACCCTGAACCCTAAACCCTGCACCCTAAACCCTGAACCCTAAACCCTAAACCCTAAACCCTAGCCCTAAACCCCAAACCCCAAACGGGGATTTAGGAAAAGAAGGAACCTACTAGAGTCCCGAAATAGTAGAATTCCCTTAGAATAAGGACCCATAAGGAACACCGATTTCGGAATCCCCTAAACCCTACATCCTCGGAGTCGTGTGCAGCTTTGGGTGTCGCACACCGTTTCTTAACTTTTTTTCCCACGACTTGCTGCGATCGCGATTGTAGCCCTGGGTGGATTGTGTTTGCTAAGAACCAGCTGTTCTAAACCCTACACCCTAAGCCCTAAACCCTAAACCCTAAACAGGGCTAAGTACGAGCTTAGGGGCCTGAGGTTAACTCACTGAGCTCTTGGGAATGAGGATGGACTCAGGCTCCTCATCGTCCCCCCTCTGCAATGCCCTTTAGGGGAGGATTTAGGGCACCTAGCTCCTTCATTCCCTATCAAGAACCGGTAGGTGTAGGGTTTAGGGTTTAGGGTTTGGGGTTTAGGGTTTGGGGTTTGGGGTTTAGAAGACGCACCTCATCGGCTCTTCTATGCCAGAAGTTACTTAGACACTTAGGGCGTTCTTGGGGGCGACAATGAACAAGCCCAAAACACCGAAACTCCGAACCCTAAACCAACCCTAAACCCTAAACCCTAAACCCTAAACCCTAAACCCTAAACCCTAAACCCTAAACCCTAAACCCTAAACCCTAAACCCTAAACCCTAAATCGCGCCAAGGGGCGGGGGGAGGGTGGGGCGCACGGTCCTGGGCTACGGTCCTGGGCTCTCTTCTTGGCGGTTCAGGGTACTTATAACCCCAATTCTAACTGTACTTAGCCCCCTGAGCCCTCTGAGTCCCCTAACCCTAAAACCTAAACCCTAAACCCTAAACCCTAAGTGGACTTATAAACGGGGTTAAAAGTACCCATGTACCTCCAAGTAGGCCCTCGGTTCCCCAAAAGCCTCCTCAGGCGCAGGCCCCAGTCGAGAACCGACTCGCCTGGCCTTGGGTTTGGGGTTTAGGGTTTCGGGCTTAGGGTTTAGGGTGTAGGGTTTGGGGATGTTAACGGTTTGGGCCGTGGTGCCCACACCCCCACAAGCCCCTAAACCTTTGTCCGTACCTGACCGTATGAAGAGTACACTCCCAAACTCTTGGACTCCCAAAACCCAAAACCCAAAACCCTAAACCCCAAACCCCGCAACCCTAAACCTTAAGCTGAAGCAACCGCCGCTACAAGCCAGCGACTCAACTAGCCTCAAAGAACCAGGTGGCCGACCTACTGCAACGACACTGGTCAGCCAGAGAATGACTAGACCCAAGAGTAACCTAGGAATACAACAGGGTGCCCTTCTTGGTTTGAAGGGGCTTATCAGGGAACCTATAGGCCCTAAAAAAAAGGGGCATGAGGGCCTACTCTGCGCCCTAGATGATTCTGAATGTTTGAGTTTTAGGGTTGGGTTTATGGGGCTTAGGGTTTACAGGGTGCAGGGTTTAGGGTTTCGGGTTTCGGGCGTTGGGTTTAGGGTTTTTTGTTCGTGCTTCCGGTTTCGGAGCCCTAGGTTTGTTCTCCGAACTTAAGATTCTTGGTCTCGAAGTTGAGAATATTGCGCAAGCCTTTGTTCAAACCCAAAAGCCTAGATGGGTACCTGAGAACCGCTAAGTTTATGCGTCTAGAATGTTAATCAGGTTTTGGGGTTGAAGGTTCGAGTTCGAGGGTTTGTAGGGCTTCGGGTTTTGAGGGAGGGCTTAGGCTTAGGGATCTTGAGACAACCGATTCCAGGTGTCCAGTCTAGGTGCACACGAGTCACAACTAGTATATGAGGAAGCCCGACACAACTCACAAAGAACGCAATGCTTTCAACCCTACCCTAAACCCTAAACCCTAAACCCTAAACCCTAAACCCTAAACCCTAAACCCTAAACCCTAAACCCTGAGCTCCTTCCTTCAGGAACGAGGATTAAGCCATGCTTGGCCCTACTGAGGGAGGGACACTCCCCAACCAACCATAGGAGGAGGCTTGAACCTTAAACCGCAAACTCCAAGCCCCCTAAACCCTAAACCCCACACCCCCGAAACGCTAAACCCTGAACCCTGAACCCTGAACCCTGAACACCCTGAACCCTGAACCCTAAACCCTAAACCCTAAACCCTAAACCCTAAACCCCTCCCCTCTCCCCCCACGGGAGCATCAGCCCGGCAGTCGGCCTGAGCTGGAGCAACTCGGCCACCTGCACCTCGAATTGCGCACAAAAGGTCTGGGAAACGGTTTAGGGTTTAGGGTTTAGGGTTTAGGGTTTAGGGTTTAGGGTTTAGGGTTTAGGGTTTAGGGTTTAGGGTTTAGGGTTTAGGGTTTAGGGTTTAGGGAAACTTGGGGTTTCGGGTTTAGGCTGCGAGGAATACAGAAAAAGGAAGGGCATCACCAAAATGGGGGGGGGGGGGGGTACCTATGGGGCCTATGGGGGGCTCCTGCAGGAGTGCCGTGCTTGGGTGGTACATGAGAGGCACCCCTCTGTTGGAAGTGCCTGTGGTAGCTGGACCCCTGCCCAAATCACCCTTAGCCTAAACCCTAAACCCTAAACCCAAAACCCTAAACCCTAAACCCTAAATCCTGACCCCTAAATCTTCCGAATAAGGTACCACCAAGGTCCATGTCGTCTGACCCTGAAAGCCCGATACAAACCCAGACACCTTCCATATACTCTACAAGTTGGGATGTTATCCCTTATACTAACAGTCCTTCATAGGGATTAAGATGGTTCAGGGTTGTGGGTTGTGCCGCACGCATGCACTGCGCGGCAAGGGAGTGGAGCGATGTGCAGTCCGACGTGAAAGAACAAGCAAGCATTGTAGTCCCTAAAACCGTCCAGCCCTACAAACCCTGAACCCTAAGCCTTTATCAGCCCCTTCAAACCAACAAAAGGGCACCCTTTTTATTCCTGGGTTCCTCTTGGGTCACCCTAAACCCTAACCCTCTAAACCCTAAACCCTTTTCAACTCCTGGGTTACTCAAGATGGGGAGCCGGCCGTCACACACTTCAGGTGCGTCTGAATTCTCGCACCTGGCAGCCCGGGACTGTAGGGTCTACAGTTTTCTTTGAGTCAGAGTCGGGGTTTGTTTGGGATGTAAGGCGTAGGGTTAGAGGGTTAGAGGGTTAGAGGGTTAGAGGGTTAGAGGGTTAGAGGGTTAGAGGGTTATAGGGTTTAGGGTGTATAAGGTGTATAAGGGTGTACAGGGTTTAGGGCTCAAGGTGAAGCAGCTCCGCCGGGGATCGTTTTCTGAGGTCCTTTGAGCCAATTAGGCACCCTTTGCCCGTTAGAGGTTCCTGCTGGAGCCATGAGATAGTCTGTGATAGAAACCCCTGGGCTACAAATTTCCTTGCGGTTTAGGGTCTAGGGTTACACAAATACCGAAGCAACCCTCAGCCCTGGAGGGCCTACACCAACAACCTCGTTGTCCGTTTTCCCAGAGACTCCGAAACCCCTTAATTAAGGAATATACCTTAAATCATATTAGGGTTCCTATTATAATTTAAGGTATATTCCTTAATTAAGGGATTTTGGATTCTCTGGGTTCCTGAAACCCCCAGCTCACGTCTTCGAAGCTCGCATCTTTAGGGTCCGTATACTCCAAATGAAATCATATAGCTGATGGGGTGCAGGATCCCAATTTTGAGAGTCATCTGGTGCCAACCTCAAGGGCTACTGGAGGAACCGAACGAGGTAACAGGGTTTAGGGTTTAGGGCTTAGGGTTTAGGGTTTAGGGTTTAGGGCTACAAGTAGGGTACTCGGCCTAGCCCTTGCGCCCGGAGCCGCTGCTTTTCGAGTCTGGCGCAGGTTGCTTCTGCCGGCGTTGCGAAGCAAGATGCGAGAGAAGAAATGTCTGCGGCTCGCACTGCGTAAGCCCGAAACCTCGCAAACTCAAAAAACCCTAAACCCTAAACCCTAAACCCCAAACCCCAAACCCCAAACCCTAAACCGCAAAGCCCTCGTGCCGGTATTGAAGAACCTAGAGCTACTTCGAGCAGGAAGCGTACCACAAGCTTACCAGGCAAACTTGGGCTTTCGGGTTTAGGGTTTGGAGAGCAGAGAGAAGGATGCCACAAAAAGCGGGGGGTTATGCAGGAACATCGTAGTTAACGGCAACCTTGACAGCAACAGAGCTAGCTGGGTGGGGTTGAGGGTTGGGGATCAAGCCTTCCCTGAACCTCAAGGAGGGAGTACAAGGTTATGCAGGGGCTGGGGGCTATTTTGGGGGCTTCTGATGGACATAGGGATGTGGGTTGGATAGGCTAGTAGGCTGAAGTGCCCCTATACAGCGGCTCAAAGCTACCACTGCTCCCCGACAGGAACGGTGCCCATCTTCCTCAGCTGCGGGAAGGCACTTGGGCCAAGGATTCTACTTGCACATCAAAGCACTGCTTCAGCTCCATACGATCCTAAACCCTAAACCCTAAACCCTAAACCCTAAACCCTAAGCCCTAAGCCCTAAGCCCTAAACCCTAAACCCTAAACCCTACACCCTACACCCTAAACCCTAAACCCTAAACCCTCGACTTGATTTGGACCAAATGAACCACAAATAAAACTGTGATCCTTTACCCGGTGTGCAAAAATCTCAGACCCTCCTAGGTTCATATACCTGAATTTAAAACACCTGCAACAAATCCTAAATATGATCCTCTTAAACCCAATAATCGGGGAACACAGAAAACATCAAGGGCCAACCTGGTGAATGAGACCCACCGTACCCGGGATATCTGATCCCAACAAACAGGTTCGTTTGCTCCCTGAACCTCAGCCCCAAACCCGAAACTCTGAACCCCAAACGGGGTTTAGGGTTCGGGGTTTGGGATTTCAGATCCATTGGATCTCTAGGGTCTAGGGTCAGGAGGCTAGGGTTTAGGGTTTAGGGTTTAGGGTTTAGGGTTTAGGGTTTAGGGTTTAGGGTTTAGGGTTTAGGGTTTAGGGTTTAGGGTTTAGGGTTTAGGGTTTAGGGTTTAGGGCTACAACTGCCTCCATCCCTAAGGAAGTCCCAGGCTCCTCCCTCTCTGGGCCGAGCGAGGCCCGGCGTTCGCAAAGCGGCTGGGCTTGAAGTGGCGCAGGTCAACGCCTTGTGATTGGGTACTTAAGGGAGGGTTTGGGGTTTAGGGTTTAGGGTTTAGGGTTAAGGGTTTAGGGTTTAGGGTTTAGGGTTTGGGGTTTAGGGTTTAGGGTTTAGGGTTTAGATTTCCAGGGGGGTATGTAACCCAAGGTTCCCGAATGCTCCCTACTACTCCCTAAGCCTACCTAGGCTTCCCTAGGTACCTACCCCCCATGAACCCACCTCCCTGAAGAACCCTATATCCTCGGGAACGCAGAGGTTTAGGGACCCCCTGGGAATTACAGAAACCGGGGGCGGGTTTAGGGTTTAGGGTTTAGGGTTTGCGGTTTAGGGTTTAGGGTTTGGGGTTTGGGGTTCAGGGTTTAGTGTTTGGGGTTTAGGGCTTAGGGTTCTTTAAAGACTTAGCCGTGAAAACCCTGAACCCCAAACCCCAAACCCCAAACCCTAAACCCTAAACCCCTATGCCCTTAACCCCAAACCCCCTCAACCCTAAACCCTAAACCCCTCGCATCCAAAGATCGCTTCGTAGTCCTCTGTCCTCTAAACCGGGGTCCCATTTGGGTCTGCGATAATACAGCACCCTGCAAAATGAGAACCCACAAAAAGGACCCTAATTTAGAAACTTTAAACCCTAGAAAACAAAAACCTGAACCCTAAACCCTAAACCCTAAACCCTAAACCCTCCTCGTCTTTTTCTGGGGCCGAGGAGCAGGAAGCCTGTCCATCCAGAATCAGCTCAGACATCGCCAGGCCGCTGACCTCCCGAGGATGACTTGTTGAGGGTTAGAAAGGGTGGTAAGGTCTAGGGTTTGGGGTTTGGGGTTCGGTTTAGGGTTTAGGGTTTGGGGTTTGGGGTTTGGAGTTTGGGGTTTAATTAGGATTTAGGATTTAGGGTTCAGGGTTTGGCGGGGGAAGGTTCGGGAGTAGGGTGAAGGGCTTTAGGATGGGAAGGGGGCCAGTACCCCCACACTCTCAAACCTAGAAACTCTCTGACTCCTGCCGGGGCGCTGGTGCCCAGAGAATGCCCCAGCAATTGTGGCCGGCAGAGATGTAAGCGCCGCGAACATGCGGCACCTGCGCAGAAAAAATCAAGGTGTTAGGGTTAGGGGTTAGGGTTGAGGGCTGCGGGCAGAGACCCTAAGATCTAAGCCCTAAACATTAAGGACTTGGTGAAGCGTTCACATCTTGTCGGCCGGGTAGGTGGGGTTAGGATTCCGCCCTGGCCCACGACCAAGGGGACGAAAAAACCATCTACTGGAGATGGTCCACAAGCCACAATGGACGAGACCCAAGAGTTGCCCAGGAATTCAAGAGGGAATGAGGGACTAATAATAGTAATAGTAATAATAGTATGAATAATAATAGTAGTAATAATAATAGTAATAATAATAGTAGTAATAATAATAGTAATAATAGTAATAATAGTAATAATAGTAATAATAGTAATAATAGCAATAATAGGGTTTAGGTCTTGCCGTCCAAGGTGAGCAAAGAGGATAAAAACGGGTGCCCTTTTTGGTTTACAAGGGGCTTGGAAGGGACCTGAGGTCCGAAAACAAGCAACAAAGGCCTGCTCTGGGCCTTAGGGTTTAGGGTTTAGGGTTTAGGGTTTAGGTTTTAGGGTTCTAGGTTCTAGGGTTCAGTGGGGTTTGCCCAAAATAGGCATGCCCCTCCTATGCCCCAAGATCCTGAATTTAATGACGCCCAGAAAGTGTACCGCAACTTTTGACGCCGCCACTTGGTCCTCCCCACTAGCCTAAACCAAACCCTAAACCCTAAACCCTAAACCCTAAACCCTAAACCCTAAACCCTAACCCCTCACCGCTAAACCCTAAACCCTAAACCCTAAACCCTGAACCCTTCCCGGCCTTGCCCATGATGGGCAGGGCGTCAGGCGGGCACGGGCGCATGCAAGCCTGCACGACATCCGGCTCACCGCCGAGCCTGAGCCACTGAAGTGTTACGGTTTAGGGTTTAGGGTTTACGGTTTTAGGGCTTAGGGCTGGTAGGGTTCAGGGTTCGGGGTTCAGGTCTTAGGGCAGGGTTTGGGGCCTGTAGGGCCTCAGCCCTAAACCACACAACCCCAATTCTGCGCGTCCCGCCTGGTTCAGGGTTTACGGTCTCCAGGGTTTCGTGTCCAGGCTGCTGAGACATGAAACCGAAACTCTGAGATTTACATTCTTCCCTGAAGCTATGGCTTGACGAAGTAGTCTTAATCCTTATGCCCTAAACCCTAAACCCTAAACCCTAAACCCTAAACCCTAAACCCTAAGCCCTAAACCCTAGACCCTAAACAGTTTGAAATGCCCTAAGCCCACAGAACCTCCGAATCGGTGCAGCTGGTTGGAGGAGCCCCCATCTTCAAAGGCCTCCCAGTAGGGTTTAGGGTTTAGGGTTTAGGGTTTAGGGTTTAGGGTTTAGGGTTTAGGGTTTAGGGTTTAGGGTTTAGGGGAGTAAGACCTAGAAGCTTCTTGCTCATCTCAGAGAAAGCGGTTTTCGCCGCGTTGACCCGCGCTGGGTCAGCCTCCACCTTCCGAGTTTTCGTTTAGGGCTCAGCGTTTAGGGTTTAGGGTTTAGGGTTTAGGGTTTAGGGTTTAGGGTTTAGGGTTTAGGGTTTAGGGTTTAGGGTTTAGGGTTGGTGGCTGCGCAGTCTTTGGCTTCGAGCTTCGGGTCTTTTCTAGGGCGTAGGATTTCCGGCTTTTCGACGCACTTTGTGGCAGGAAAAGACCAAACACGTCCGAAGCCTGCGACGGAAGGAGCTCACCGGCACGCAGCCGGCTTCCGTCCACATACCTTGGATACACGGAAAACAGATGCTTGTCGGGCTTAAAGCTGTACTCCCTGAGTACACCCTGAACCGTAGAGTCTCTCCTAAAACCCTAAACACCAGAATCCCAAAAGCCCTAGGCCCTCAACCCTCAACCCTCAACCCTCAACCCTCAACCCTAAACCCTAAA